CCAGCCCCACGCCCGCCCGGGCAGAGGACCCCACCTCCTCGTAGTACGTCTCCATGACGATCCGCATCTCCTCCAAGCTCGTGGTCTTCATGTCCGCCTGCAGCTTGCTGAAACCCAAGCTCAGAGTGAGCCGCAGAGCCCGCACCCGGGGCAGAGACGCTGCCTGTCCTGGGCCTCGGAGAGGCGGGAAGTGAGGGCTGAGGCCTCAGCCGCGGGCGCCACACGGGGACCCTTTCCTGACGGGAGACCGCTCAGCAGCACAGGCCCCTCCAGGCGGCGGCTGCTCCCAGGGGAGGGGACAGACCCCTGAGGACGCCTTCGCCTTCGCTAGGGAGAGGCTGTCCTTGGAGCTGGACCTCGGGGGGTGGAGTTGTAACAGGACAGAGACCTACTTTCTCCTGTCCCGTCAGCATCCTCCTCCCTCCTCAGCTGCGGACGGACTAGAGAAAGGCGCTAACAGAGACGGAAGTTACAGAGTTCAGGACCCTGCAGCACAGAGGGATCAGCACGTGACATTCTAAAGTTGACAAGTTCAGCAAGAGACGGAGAGGGAAACTGACGCACCACGAGGAGACGAGGGCAATGCCCTCTGACGGCGGGGGGTGTGGGGGGTGAGGGGGGGCCTGGGACAAGCCACGCATCAGGGCTTCTTTTGTCAAGACCCGCACGTCCCTGCTGCAGGTGAAGAGCGAGCCCCAGGGGCTAAGGAGAGAAAGCGCCTCTTCAAAGTGGCAGCAGCAGGAAAGGCTAAAGGAAAACACTGCTCCCTACTGACACCTGCAGGAGATGGCTAGGAGTCACTCTCTTTCTGGTGGAAGACGAAGCTGGGACCAGGGCCCTGGGGCAGAGAGGGGCCCTGGACCAAGGGGGGACCTGGACCAGAGGGGGGCCCTGGACCAGAGGGGGGCCCTGGACCAGAGGGGGGCCCTGGGCCAAGGGGGGACCTAGAGCCAAGGGGGGACATGGACCAGAGGGAGGCCCTGGACCAGAGGGGGGACCTGGACCAGAGGGAGGCCCTGGACCAGAAGGGGGCCCTGGACCAGAGGGGGAACCTAGGGCAGAGGGGGCGGGCGGGAAGTCAAGCTACACCCGAGAACCTGGAGCCAATGCCAGTCTGAACGAGGCAGCCCTGCCCCCGCCGCCCCGCACCTGATGGTGCTGTCCTTGTCCTTGCACTGCTGCTCCAGCCGCAGGACCCTCTGCTTCAGCCCATTGATGACCTGCAGCAGAAGCCAGGCCTGAGGCGGACGGCTCCCTCCTCGGAGCCTGGCCTGCCCAGTGCGACCGTGTCTGTGGCCGGAGGTGCAGCTCCTGCAGCTGCTGGTCGCCGCCCAGCACTGCCCACACCACGGCCGCCATCGCCCGTCCCTCCGTCGGCCACGTGTGTTAAATAATGCGGGGGGGGGGGTTTTCTTCTGTTCCTGCTCGG